TATTTATATTAAAATCTATTAAATAATTTATAGATATATATATATATATATATATATATTTCGGTCAATATACTTGACCGAAATAACTTGGAAATTTTCGTTAACTTCACCTGCGTAAAATTTCCCCCCAAATTTTAAAAATTTTTACAGATATATTTCGGTCAATATATTTGCCCGAAATAAATTGGAAATTTCCACCAATTTCGCCCGCCTAAGATTTTCGCCAAAAAATTAATATTTTCTGCCAATATATTTCGATCAATAATATTGACCGAAATACATCTAAAAAATTCCACCACATTTAAAATATTTTGGCCATATATTTCGGTCATTTTACTTGACCGAGATTGGGTTGGGAGAAGTGTTTTTGTGCTCTTATTTCGGTTAGTTATTAACCTTGAAAAAGTTATTTTGAATACCAAAAATAGCGCTTCCTTTAATTCGGTCAATTATATTGACCAAAATTTTTACATAAAATATTATTATTAAATTCGATCAAATTACTTGTCCGAATTTAAGTAGTTATTTTAATGATTTCGCACTCACATTTTCGGTCACTTATATTAACTGAATTGATGAGTTATTTTGGTTAAGATAAAATTTTGTCCGAAATACTATTTTGTACAAAAACTATTCGAGCTATACATTTTGGTTAGTGATTTTGACCAAAATATAATTTATTTGGTCATATAAAGCACTATTTCGATCAATATGATTGACCGAAATATACCTTAAATCTAGTAGTGTTCTAACGTGTGAATAAAGTAGGGTGGACTGCTTTTCTTACATAGGGTCGCCGTTTTCCTATTCACACTCCTTTTTTCTCATAGCTTCATACGTGACTCTTTCCTAGCTATTCACCCTTTGATTTTGCAAAGGGCCACTTTATGGAAAGGGAGCCATTGCCTTTTGTGAAAAAATTAATTAGTTTAGTTTTCTTCAACTTTCATTTTTATCCTTAAATAATTTGTTTTATATATCATCATTTTAGTTCTTTTAAAATTTCTTTGTATGCATTGGAGACTTAAGAATCTTTAAAAAAGTTTTCCTACCAAGTTTCAATTTATTTCTCTAATTGTTATGAAAACCCAAGTAGAAAGATTATTTTATTTTTCTTTTAAAAAAACTTGAAAATTAAATATAAAAAAAAAACCCTGGCTTCCTCACTTAAAATCCCCGCTCCTACCTCTTTAGTTTTACCACTTTGTTTTTCTTTGCTCACAGGATTTCAGAAAATCTACGAAAACAGTTCCAGTGACTTAACAGGTGTGGTTATGACCATAACATTATTGTATTGGGACTACATAAATTTATTTATTTATTATTTTGTATATAATTAGTTATCATATATAAAAATATTAATATATAAATTAATTTTGTATATAATTATTTATTATTTATTAATTAACAATTATAATTATTAATTATTTTAATAATTAAATTAAATAAAATTAATGTTTAAAAATTTATGTAATTATAACATTACTGGTGACTTGGGCATAGAAATCCTCTAAATAGTAACTTTAGAACAATCAGTCAAGTCTCTTAAGACAATGAAATAGTCAGAAGTTTCCTAATATGCATAATGCATTAAGTGTATAATCTATCAAATCAACAGAAAATAAAAATTTTATCTGTAGATCAGTCAAACTAAAAGGATTTTTTTTCCCTAGACCCATCACCCCATTTCTAATTATCGAACTTCTATAAACTAATTCTCCCCTTAAAGAACAAATAAATCATAGATACAAAGAAGAAAAAGATCATCGCACAAGTGCATTAAGGCGACAGCAGATATGCAGTTCCCTGGAGAGATCGAGTATATTCTGAGTATAAAGCCCTAAAGCAGTGAGAAAAAAAATATTGAATTATTATTTTGTTTGAATCCCAATGATGAAAAATGTGCACCCAAGATTGACAGACAAGATTTATTTTTCTTCATACATGTTTGACTTAGAATAGGACATGGATCAGATGAGCAAAGCAAATTAAGGACTTGCTGCTCTATATATGAAGCTTAAAGGAGGCGTAAGCAAGGTAGAGAAACATGCAAGCTTGGAAGAGGTTTACAAAACTTCAAGAAAGAACAATACCCTTCCCTGTGGCAGTGTCAAGATCAAAACGTCGTAGAAGCAAGGCCTCGTTGGAAGCCCTGGCGTTGTGCTTATTGTACCAACCAAAGGATAAATGAATCCAGCTCCAATGCTAGCTCTCTTACATCCCTTATTGGTAAGAGAAATTCACTTGGTACTCCCTTTGCTGAAGCATTGTGAGCAAATGAATACTGGGTTTTTGCCATGCAGATTGGTAGACCTGAAAAGCCTTGCCTGATGTACATCTCAATCTGTTTCTCAGCCGGAAAATTATTGATAAACTCTTAAGTTCGATATATCTGTTTACACTTATGTAGTTTAATGATTAAAATATAATATAAATATAAGTAATTTAATCGGTTTTCGTATATGTATGTTTACATTTTTAAATTTATTATTTTTAATTTTAAATTAAAAATAATAATTTTTTAATAATTATATTTAGCAATGTATTAAATTTAGATATTATACCAATTTATATCATTCCCAATCTAGTTGAAAAAATAAGAAAGGAAAAGAAAAAACTGTCACCACGTGACCCAATACTTACACTGATTATCTAAATATGATATAAAGCAAATTGGTGAAAAGTATATGGCATGTTTAACTGCTAATAAAACCTACGAAACTTATAGAGTTTTGAGTATCGACACAGAGACATAATTAAGCTTATTAAGTTCTGAAATATAGGCTAATTAAAGAAGAAAGGTGAGAAATTAAAGCCAAAAAAAAACCAGAAATTATTGAAACAGTAATTAACTGCACTTTTGCATATTCTGGTAAAAAAAAAAAAAAGGTCAATTCTCAAAAAAGAAAAAGCCCGCGTGGCTGTGTTATGACTCACGCATCGCAGACTTTAACAAAGGAGACACAATTTTAATTAATATTTTATTAATTTCATTATTAAAAATAATTAATAATTAAAAATAATTAATTTTTAATATTTAAAAAAATTAAGATTAATTTACATACAAATGTTTACAAATCTTAAAATTAATTATTTAAAATAATTATAAATTAATAAAATATTAATAAAAATATGTGTACTTATCAAAAATATGTGCAGCAATAACTACGGTCTTACTGTGTGTTGTGCAACTGTTGCGACGTCTTTGAGCCAATCTAACAGCCCAGCCAATCAAAGTTTTAAAAACCGAACCGGAGTTCAAACCGTTTTGACCTCCGGTTCTCGGTTTAGCCGGTTTAACCGGTTCAACCGTTCAAACCGCCGGGTCATTCCAAATGAATAAATATAATGTTGTGTAG